TTTTTATAATTTATATTTTTAAAATTAAAAATTTTTAATAATAAGAAAACTTAAATAAATAAATTTGATTATTATTTGTAAATTAATCTTAAGTAAACTTGTTTACTAGATTATTAAATATATATATTTAAAATTTTATATAATTTAAATAAATATTAATTGAATAACAAATAAAAAAAGATTAAAAAAAATATTTTAAATTTTTTATAATCAATTTTTTCAAAAAAAAAATTTAATGAAAAAATATTAATTATAAAAAATTTTATTAAAATAAACTATTAAATACTTTTAAATAAACTATTAAATACTTTTAAATAAACTTTTTTACTAGATTATAAAGTATATATATTTAAAATTTTATATAAATTAAATAAATATTCATTAAATATAATTAAAAATAAAATATCTGATTTTTTTTATTATATATTATATACTATTATATAAATAATTTTTTAATTTCAAATTTAAATTATTAATATTTTTAATTGGTTTATTATTAATTATTTTTTTATACTTTTATTTATTTTTTTAATTATTATTTATATTATTATTTATATTAATATTATTATTTATATTATTATTAATTTATTAAATTATAATTTATTATTCTTTAAAGATATAAATTAAGTTAATTAATTATTATAAAATTCTGATAATAAATAATCTTTTATATTATTATTTTTGAGGTTAATTTTTAAAAAATTACTTATTTTTAAGTTTTTTAAATAAATATAAATATATTAATAAATAATAATCTAAATTAAATATTCTATAACTTTTCAAATTTATCTTATTAAGATAATTATTTTGATAATTTTTTTATTTGAATCTGATTACTAATTATCAAAATACTTGAAAAATATTTATTAAAAATTACTATCACAAATAGAAATTACTTATTTAATTTTTTTAATACTTTTAGATCTGAAAAAAAGAAAATTACTTATTATTAGAACTTTATAATATATTTAATTTATATATAATAATGATCAAAATAATAATTCAGAGATTAAATTTATTAATAAAATATAATGAAAATTAAAATTTTCTCTTTATATTAATATTTATAATTTTATTAAGAAATAATTTTTATTTTTATATTAAAATAAGATTATCAATTATAGTATAATATATATTTTTTTCAGATTTTTTAGATTTTTTTAAAAGAGTTATTTTAATTATAAAGTTAATACAAAGATTTTTACTAATTAAAAATGAAATTTAATTAATAAAAATTTTTGTACTAACTTTATAATTAAAGTAATTCTCAGAAAAAATCTGAAAATCTGAAAAAAATATATATTAAACTATCTATAACTGATAAACTTTATTTTAATATAAAAATAAAAATTATTTCTTAATAAAATTATAAATTTTAATATAGAAAGAAAATTTCAATTTTTACTATATTTTATTAATAAATTTAGTTTCTAAGTCATTATTTTTGATTATCACTGTATTATATTATAACTTAAAAATTTTATTTTAATATAAAAATAAAAATTATTTCTTAATAAAATTATAGAGTTTAATATAGAAAGAAAATTTTAATTTTACTATATTTTATTAAAAAATTATTTTTTGTTTTTATAATTATAAGAGTTATTATATATAAAAATATTATAAAATATTTATTTAAAAAGAAAGTTATTTTATATTTATAATTAAAAAATAAAAATAACTTATTTTAAAAATTTATAATATTTTAATTTCAAGTAATTTAATAAATTATTATTAATTAAAAATATAATTTTAAAGAATATTTAACTATTTATTTTAAATAATTATTTAAAACTTATAAAAAATATAAATTATAAAGATTATAAAAAAATTACTTTTCTTATTTTAATTTTCTAAATTATTAATTAAGAATAATAATTATTTTAATATTTGATTAATTATATTTTGTAAAATATATGTTTTTATTATATATAAAAATTCTTAATTATATATTTTATTAATAAATTTTTTCATTTTTAGTTAAAATAAAGTTAATATTTTCAATTTTAAATATTTTTCAGATTTTTAATTATTAATTAATTAAAATTTATATATATTAAAAAAAGAACTCTAAGCTAAAAAATAAACTTTTTATATATAACAAAAAAAATATTATTTTATCAATTACAATTAATAAAATTCAAGTATTATATTTTTTTTATATTTAAATTTTGATTTTAATATTAATATTTATGTTAGCAAATATACAAATTTTTATAATATATAATAATTTAAAAATTAATAAAAAAGATATTTTATTATTTTAATATGATATTTATGTTAATTATGATCTAATTGTAAAATCCAAGCTATTAAATTTTTTTATAATAATCCTAGTTTCATTATTATGATATACAAGTGAATCTCTGATATAATAAAAACATCCAACTACTAGTAAAAACTTTTCAAACATATACTATATCAAGAATTTACTAATAAATTTAGTATATCGAGAGGATTTGATATTGCATCCTGGAAATATCGATGTCGAAACTTACCTCATATTGCTGAATTTGGACTTATCATTCCGACAAATATAAAATCTAAGCAAGAAGTTTGTGGAGACTCTAAATAAAAAGTCATACACTAGCGCTGCAAGTAGCTTTGGAATGATTATGCACGAGGTTGTAACTGGTGCGAACGATCATTTGGTGAACGAAGTCATTCATAATCTTTATCTTGTAGAAGACATCTATTAAGGAGAACTATACTAAATAATGTTCCTGGATGGATCAAATTTGTTATTGAAAAATGCTGGATCTATTCCAGAAAACAGACAACTACCAATGAATTTCGATACTTTATCAATTCTATCAGCAACAGATACATTTTACAAGTCAAATAAATATTGTTTATTCTCTTCTCAAAATTTTTCAATGCTTTACAAATTACAGTTTAGTTATTACAACTTCAATGCGGTATATTGCAATTTTAGGGCCTTGGTTGGAATCAGGATTGCAACTCAGGTCTGTGACTATTTAACAATCCCGTATACTTTTTAATTTCTAGGATTTGAGGACATTATGAAATAACGAATCGAACTTTTAATTGTATTTTCTAATGAAATTTACCTCTGGGATTTTGAGGCATGAAAATTTTGATTTATACTATTCGAAATTTTACACATCCCCTGATCCAATACATTATCACGGATCAAAAACAGAAGTACGCCGAGCACTAAAAATGGGGATTCTGGAAATATCTAGTCAGCCAATTTTACGACTTATTGTTTTTACGCACGGATACAAATAAAGCACAAAACGCGCATTTAAAAAAATCACATGCGATTTGCTTGACGCATATTTCAAAGGGCATTTAATTAATGAAAAAAATTCACATAACATGGCGTTATACATATATGAAAAAACCTTAATAAACATCATCACCAATTAGATTTCACGGATGCAATTAGTTCTCTAATTGATGTAACCCGCACGGGAATATTTCACCACAGATGCAAAGCATAAGCAGTAAATATGCGAATAAACAAAAGGGATTATTGGTTAGTGGTTTTTTTTTATTTATTAATAGTTCTTGTATGTACATGTATAACCAAAGCCGTAATTACGGTAAGTTTAATATCAGGTTGTCTGCGTTGACGATCAAGTGAAATTAATAATTCACTATGCGCTAGTCCCAGAAAAGATTTTGGGATTTTCAAAATACAAATTGTCGAACGTAAATAAGCATGCACATATTATATTCGGTATGAATCATCCAATAAATGCAATAAACAAAATATCACACGAGAGAGATATCTTTGCTTGAATCGTAGAATTAGGAACGATTCATGCAATTTGTGTAAATTAATGAACCAAATACCAATCAAAAATGTAAGTAAAGAAATATTTCTATGGTTTGGCTTGGTTTGAAGGCTAAATTATTTTTGCGCAATTATGATGGCAGTGAAGAGATCAAATCTTTTTTCCTATAAGGAATAATTTTGCTTACTTAAATTGATGTTATTTCGTGCATGTAAACTTGTTATGGATCTATTATTACATCGTTTCTCTTTTTGAAAATTGTCCTAATTAAGTCGCCATCGCTCTAAAAACCCCTTAAAGTACGAATCACAGTGGTTCAAATGTGGGTAGAGATGACTACAAGAAAAAAAACAACGCAGCAACAATAAGAAAAAATAGGCCAATCGGTTAATAAAAAATTCCTAGTGAAGTGTACTACAAATGCAATCATCAAACCGGATATGCACCAATACTAGAAAATATAGAGCGTCATCACACTAAATTACTAACTTAACTAACACACATACATTATATTTTTTTTATATTAATTAAATTACTAAAAGAATTTTAATTTTGTGCACACGCATATATAGGAGATTTTTTCCTACTTTCCCATCTCATTTCATTTCCATTTTTCTTTTTTTCGTCATTTGATCTCTTAACTCCTGAATATCTCCAATCTTTTATTATTTTAACAAACTTTCTTTCCCTTACCATCCTCATCAAATACCGTCATCTAAATCGATTTCATTCGTCCACAAGTCACACACATCCCCAAAGATACGCGCTTCTTTCACGTATTCTTTGAAATTAAATACCAAACCTCATCATCGAAAATTTTTAATCATCATTATTCCCTGTTCTTTTTTTTTTAATCACGAAAAAACTGATCGGTTAAAATGAGTGGAATCAAAGGCGAACAAAATATTTATGATGATGTCGGACTATTGAATACCGATGAGAGAATCATTTTAAACGTTGGCGGTGTAAAGGTGATTATTATTTTTTTCTTGTATCGGACTTTACAAAACTTGAGATTAGCTGATGCAGGGGACATTATCATACGTAGTAACAACAACAACAATAACAATTAATTGATAATAATACTTGTAATGAATGATGAATGATCTTAATTAATTATTTCTGATTGATTCCCCAATCGGTCAAACAAAAATGGACACATACACATACACACACACACACACACAAAATACAGTATGAAACGTATCGATCGACTTTAACCGCTTATCCGGATACTCTCCTTGGTACAATGTTTCAACAGCGTAATCAACAATTACTTCACCCAGCAAATGGTAATGAGTATTTTTTTGATCGTAATGGAAAAATCTTTCACTATATCATGGAATTTTATCGTACTGGTCAAATCTTGTGGCGTCCGCCGCCCGAAACAAATCCACTTCCATCGATTAATCCAAATAACCCTTCAAATCACCACAACAACTACAATAGTAATAATGCAATCACCACCTCCTCCCTTGCCACAACTGTCAATAATGGTGGTGGTGCTAATGATAATAATAATAATAATAATAATAATAATAATAATAATAGTATAAGAAGTAAAATTTTTGGTTCCATTTCCACTCCTAATCTTAGACGACAATTAAATAGCCAAGAGAAATTAAAAACCACTTTGATGAATTCCGTGACCATGACCCAATCACATTCTTCCTCTTCATCTACGCCAGCTAATACTTTGTCGTCCTCGTCATTTGAAGCGGTTTCGCTTACTGAATTAGAACTAGAATTGACTTACTTTCAAATACCAGTCCCTGAGAATAGAATTGAGCTTGCGCACAAAGCCGGTGGAGAATTGTTAGACGAATTCGCATTCGCAATTGAAGACTTGATTTATGCTGCCATCGCAAAATTGATAGATAGAATAGCCATCACATTTTATCGCGACGGTTCACCAATGGAGTGTCCATTTGCAATTGCAGGGGACGAAAAGATTCGACAGTTTAGCGTGAATGGATACTGCATTATTAACTATTTTTGTGAAGATTTGAAAAAATATTTGGAAAGTGTGTTTCCACGAATGTTATTGAAGTTGGACTGGGGTGTCAATTACAAAAGTTTGACGATGAGTATGAGTTATTTGTTTGCGAGAAAAGAGATTCAAAAGCACAGTAAAATTGGGAGATTGATCGCAGATGCTAACAATAATAACAACCATCATGATTCTTCGAATGGGGGAGCTGCTGCTTTCGCTACACCTACATCAATGTCAATTGGAATTGCAGCTCAATCTTTAGATTCAAATGATCCAAGTGGCAGTGGAAGAAGTAGTAGCGCAAGTACTTCCAGCCTGACTAGCAATTATAGTTCAAATAATGAATAAGAACCAGAGGTTCGTTAATTAACGAAACTAAAAGATGAATCTCCCATTGAAGAAGAATCATATTTGGCCCCTGGTGCTCGAATTATGCATTTAATGGCAATTTTATCAGCATAATCTATTATCAGGGCCATAAGGAAAATATTACCATTTAAGTCTCAAACTAGAAACTTTTTTAGTTTTAACTATCAATTTAAGTACTCTTTCTTTCATTTAATCACATTAATCTTCAAGTTCAAGCAATTATCCCTTTACACGATTTACACTTCAATATTTGAATATATAGTATACGCATGCACGTTATGGTTATAAGTGTAATTCTATGCAAATAAAATCAAAATTCTTTCATCTTTACGAATTGAGTAAGTTGAAGGCTACTCTGCCTTGATTTAGTGCGAATTAAGATTAATAATGCGAGGAAAACTTTGATCTTACGATTTTATTTTTACAGTGCACACGATAATGTATGTAGTTAGTGCAGCATTACGTAAGCAAAAACTATTGGATCTCCGAATTTACGATACGTAATTTTTATCGATAAATAAGGTACATGTAATTGTTATAGTAAAAACCATAGTAGTTTGTTCAAATTATTTTATAAGGATAATAAAATCCTCTCTAATAAATTCAAGAATAATTCTCGATATAGTAAAAATCTTCTCTAATTGAGAGGGGACACTGTGTAATAACGATTTAGTATTTCAATTCAATCCGATTAAGTTGATTAATTTCCCTGATATTAAAGAGATGCTTCGGTATTTGGTTTTTTCTGAAAAGAAAGGTTATGCTGATCGATTTTTGGTAAAACCCAAGAAAGCTTGGCTGGTTTACTTTATGCGGAAGAGGGCGAGGAGTTGACTTCCTTTTTCATTCGTTGATTTTAAGCATCGTGGCTAGTTCCTTTTGGGTAAGGCTTTTTTTTTGATATAATAGAAGAATTTATAATATTCTCCGCACAATTAGTTTATCAGAACTATCTGTGAACCACACTTGCTATAACACAATCTAATATTTATCAATTCATGTTATACAGTCAAAGTTGGATAGTAACCAATAATCTTCATATACGTATAATGATAAAGCTCCTGTTTCCCAATTTACGATTGGATGGTTAAATCCATCTTATATGACTGTATATGTATGTAATTTATAACGCATGCTTCTTCAAGTACTAATGTTTCTAAAAATGAACCTAAATCTTAACAGATTGTTATTTTAAATTCGTTATTACTGTAAATAAATGGATAAGAAATTCCATGGCGTGTAATCGTTCGCTTAAAATAAAGTTTATCAAACGACAATCAAAATTTATAGTGGAAGTTGTTCGAGGGTCAATAAGCCACTTTCTATAATTGATGAATGAAAAATCATATTGGGTATACCAGGTAAACTCTATTACCTATGAAAGAGAATGACAATATGATATGATGTTATATTATCGATAGATTAAGTTGCTTCATTTACGTAAGCGCACAATTATAATAAATCCCATTTTTAGACCAAATGGAGAACTCCACATAAAACATGAGAAACGTTTTTGATTTCATTGGTGCGAAGGAAATGAAAATCATCGGATACAATTAAAGTTGATAATGATAGTGTTGGCGTTCTTTTACTGCCATAAGAACTAAAAGAGATTACCTCGAATTGGAAACTTGTTATTTGTATACTTAACATGTAACATGTCACATCCCGCTGAGAAAAATTTAAGTTTATGCACATGTAACATTAGATTGCACAAGTTATACCAAAAAGAGATCAAGATCGGTGATTGACATTATTAGAGTTTTATCTGTTTAAAGTCAGAAAGATTATTGACGAACTTGACGTAATTTAGTTAACTGCATGTAACAATTTTTATTTTTTTTATATTAGTTTGCTTGAACATACATTGAATCGAGAGCAACCGTATTTTGATCATATTTTGAAACGATGTGTGTGTGTGAATTCTTGTTAACCAGCTAATCTCAATAGGAATAACGTAAATAGTTTATATTTGAGGCTTAACTGAACTGTACTTATCGTTTCAATTTAATTCGTTCTTTTACGATATGTGCCTAAATAATGAGAACATTTGTTTTATTGTGTTTAAATAGGAATATACTTCAAGTTATAAAGAAAAACTTATTAATTGCATAATTTATTTGATAGTTTTAATTTAACGACATAATTTTTAAGGCCCCTTAATTTTAAAACTATTTTAAGCAACAAGTCTATTTAATTTTAAACCATACTTCAATGTATACAATATAAATAAGATTTTTGTTATTTTACATGAACAAATCTTTATAAATTCATGAAAAATTTGATAATTAAAAAAATCCATTATTTTACAAAACACCATTCAACATGAGAAAATTCGCAATTTTCAGTCATCATCTAAATAATCCAGATTCTCGCCTATTATCTTGAGACACTCACGTTATTCTTTTGTCTCATGGATTTATATTTTTCTAACTTGATGCTTATCATATAGCTGAATTTTCATTTATAAGGCAAAACACAAAATATTATATTATTAGTTATTCAATCAGCAGAAAAGTTTCTTTAGCGTTTAAAATCAATTTTATTGCATAGATCTAGCGTTATACATCTAATTTTTATTCTATAACTCTTTGCTCTTTCTGTCAAAAAATGTCTAATGAAGTAATAAATCGAAATCATACATTTGCCTTGCTACGTTTGCATGTATTATAGGATTTATTGAGATTGCGAACCTGGGAATTTTGTAATCTGATGATTTTATCAGAATCGCAGGTTAATTATAGTGGATTGCTTAGATTTTTACACACGATGTTGAAAATTATTGTTAATCATTATTAAGAAATGGAAATGAAAAATTACATTAAGGAAAAATAAATTATATAAAATTTGTACACAATTAAATATAAAATAATGGCCTGAAGTATAAGTTATTTTATCGAGAACTAGCCAAACAAACAATACGTAACAAATGGTCTTTTTCATGAACGTATGCCAGTGAAATATCAATCGGCAGAATTTGATCCGTTTCGTAATTATCTCAGAAAAGGTGTATTTATCTTTTATATGTTAACATGATTACTGTAGCAAAGTAAACCTTACAACGAGTATCTTTTAAAGTTTGCATCGGTCTTAAATAACAAGATCAATATTATCGTTTCGAGAAATTTACGGACAGTTTTAATCACGTAGCCAGTAAAAAACCCTAGCCGAGATTGCGTAACTTTTTGAGCAAACCGACAACGGCGCAAGAAGATAAAAAATTTACTTGAAGTTCGCTAGGTGAGCTTCCGCTTCCCGGCAAATCTAATTCAAGGTTTCATTCTGCTTAATTTCGTATATCGAAATCTGGTTTTTTATTTGCCGTCAAAAGAAAATGAGTTTATAAATAAGTGAAAAAATAATATAAATAGCGATTTTACCTTCGTTTGGAACATCAAAATTAACACTTGTATAACCTAAAAATTTGTATATTTTAAGATATTCTAAAAGCTGTAGTATTGAAGATGCAAGTATTCAGTTTCTTGAGATAGCGATAGTTTAAATAGATAAAATAAAGCATAGAAGTCTCAAGCAGTTGGCCTGTTTTCTGGATTCCAGCATTTCTCAATCATTATTTGATGTTGTCGTCGTATTTGCTTTCAAATAACATATATCATGACTTTTCTATATTTGTTGCAATGTGAGGAAAGTTCAGTTATTCCGTAATATTTAAATACCATTTTTGAAAAATTCGATTTTATTGAAAACAAAAAAGCAACTTTCACGGATTAATTTTTTGAATTTGGTAATGACTCAGCATAACTACTTTTTTTTCCGTATTAACCAATTTTTCTATTTAGATCGCTATATTATCCATTGCATACATATGTACATAAAGTAAAACTTTGCAACGAAGATTTTTACGTTTTGTTTTGAATTTTTCCGTTACACATGACCCGTAACTTTTTTGTCATGGTAATAAAATATACTACGATGATAAGAAAAGGCACTATATTTTATTCGTATATTATGTATATTATTTATAATAATTAAATGAAGGTTATGATCCGATAGAAGGCCAAAGATAAAAGTTACGGGATAGATTAATCATTTTGTTAAAAAGTCAGCTCTCGCCCTCTAATTTCTATAATCATTTTTCACATTTTTTAAATTGCAATTCGGTTATGATGTAATTTTTTATGATATTACAACAACATTCTTAACAGCCAACCAACAGAAACAGACAACAGCCACAAAAATTTCGAACATTCGTGGCTATTGTTGAAGTAGACAACTCGAGCTTCAACATTGTTTATTTGTAGTTGTTGATATTGCTGCTGCTGTTGCTTTACGTATGTTGTGGACCCTCGTGGGGCCTGGAAATTTTGTGAAGATGGTGAAGATCGAGGTCGTAATGGGACGACGACAATGTTGTTGGTGTTATTGTTGGTGTTGGTGTTGGTATTGGTATTATTATTATGTTATTGTTATTCATTTTTTTGAAGAAAAAATTGAGGAAATTTATTTTTTCGAAGAAAAAATTGAGAAAAAAAGTTAATCTTTCAACTCCTTTTATATTTAAAGCTATTGTGTGAAAATCACATGCTTGTGAGTAAAAATCAATGAATGTACACTTCCCCTGACAATAAACGAATTTATTAATAAAACAAAAGCCTACTATACATGTATTAAACACCAGTTTGTGCCCTCTCTTTTCGAATGTTAATTATATTACAGTACAGAAAAAGTTTTGTCGTTGCTATGGGTATTGTGGCGGATTGGGCAATCTCGTGTCAGCTGGCAGTCCCGACAGTTTTGTTTGGTTAAATTGATTCATTTTATCGAACAATCTCGTAATAATTTATTAAACAAAATTTCGTGATCTCGTCATATCACGAGACATATAATAAGAATTCGCACTAACACGAAATTAACAACGACTAAAAAATGTTGGCTTGCAACAAAATTTTTTCCCATAATAATAAGTTTAATTAGGTTTGTGGCAATTGAAACATGACCAAACAGCATATTATTGAAAACCAACACAATCAAATATTTTGAGTTCAATTTAATTCTGTGCGACAAAACATTTTCTATGTGTACTTTTCTTTATACATTTGTGGCGTGCTAAGAAACGATATAAATCTGCTTTTAATCTACAGTACTATTTCTTCAATAATCTTTAGGCATCAAAAAGTTTATAATTAATTGAAATGAACCCGTCCAATTACTAATTAGTGGACAATTAATAAAATAGAAAGACTGAATTACGATCAAAAATATGTGGGAATCGACAACCGTACCATTAATAAAAATTCTGAATTATTTATGTAAACACGATTATGTATGAAAATTGACCTCCGGAATCAGCTTTATTAACTGCTTTATACAATGGCATATTACATTTCTTTGGAATAACAAGATGAACAATTACAATTAATTTGTTCTCATTTCTGTTACTAGTCTTAATTTCTATATTCGAATTGTTGCGAAACCTGCAATCGAGCAGAAATCGTTAGAAACATGAAATGCAAAGCGAGCAATCAAAGAAATATTATTAATAATGAAACGCACCGTGAGTTCCTCAACATCGGTATGTTTCATGTTATTACTTGCATCCCACCAACATGCAGTTATGCTAATCTTCGTAAAGTCGCAAATGTGTACGATTCGAAGTCTCTCTTTAAGTTTTCCATCAACCGGCCAGTAAGGATTCTCAGTTGCATTATCTTCGCATGTAAAAATGAATGATCCAGGTCTCAATGCTGAGAATAGTTTCGAATGTTAGCGCCCGTTCAAAATTTTCATCGAGCTCATTCCGTCTTGCAGTTGTCAATAACTCAAGAACAACTGTTGGCTGTTTAAACGAATTTATTACTATGTTACTATATTTATGATTATTATGCTCGCCAATTCGATGTATCAAATGCCATTGTCCTGTGATTTGAAAGTCCTTAATGTTGAGCCAATTTGACAGGATACTGTATAGCGCTGAATCGTACACGTCTCCTTAGGGACTTTACGGTCTTTAGAAGCTTCAAACACATGTGCCGTTTTGAATGAGTGATCGAACGTCTGGTTAATAATTTTTTTGTCGAACATACGGGCTACTTGCTTTAAGACTTCAAGGTACGTGAAGAGGAATGAAAGGGATTTCTATCTGCAGACGGGAAGGATTACCTTAGAGATTACACGTTGCAGGAACAGCCAACGCACAAGAGGCGAGGAAATCTTGAATGTTTTAACCTCGTTTCCACGCAACAGGAAATGAGAAACTCAGCCAGTTCAATTTTACGAACAACTTTTTTAAGTTCAAAGTCAATATCCGCCAGGAAATTGGAACGAAAGGAATCTATTGCATTCTTATGTCTGCATTCCAGAAACTTTAGTGTTGGATAACTTTCCAACCAATGACGTGATGAAGCGTTGCCATAAAATCATAGCTCAAGTGCATTCCCTTTTCTCAAGTACCGGAATAGATTACTTCGATGATATAGAATGGCGACAAGGAATTGCTGGAGTCAATACATAGGATGCTGAAGGCACAAATAGGTATCTAGGTATGCCTATGGTCTTGAGAACCTCTGTGCGAATTTTTGCCTCCGCTTTGGTGAATTATCGAACTTAGAGAAAGATACGGGGTTTTTCGACACCGAAAATTTTTTTCCAATAATGAGGAAATTATCATAACGTCACACGAGTTAAAGTAATACTTATTATATTTTACCAAGTGTCTTCCAGAGTCATCTGTTTTGACAGATTCAAAGGACACGCTGTCATAGCAAAGAAAATAAAATAGCGGGGCAATTAGATTACATCACTCGGCAAAACCAAATATGTTTGGGTAAAAATAATCTTCTAATTGCAAACAAAATCATGTCCAACTGCTGAGTGGCTTTTGTTGTGGATTTTCCAGAAGCCTGTGTACCATATAGCATTAGGAAGTAATCGTCCCGAATTTTCACAAGTAATGGAGCGTTTTGTTTTGTTGAGCACACAAATAATGAAAATTCCAGTCATACGGACGCAGCACACTATTTACCATCCATTTTCTTCTTTTCGGTGTTGAGTTCGTAACTGATTAAAGAAAAATTAGTAAGTATGAGCGCAAAATATAGAGTAAACCACTTTTTATAATCGTACTCCTTCCTCTGCATTTTTTTTCTCACGCTCTGATGTTAGCGAGGCATAAGTTAATAAATGGAATTCTTGCGAAGAAAGCAGTATAGCTTTCGATATTCGAATGTAATCTTTGTGCTTAACTTCTTCGCCTCGGAGCTTTTTAACGAAATCTACAATTTCTTGTACTGGCTATATGGTATTTCGAAAGAACCTGGTTTTGAATAAGTATTTCCATAGTTAAGGAAAGAAAGAAGCCACAAGTAACCATTTTTTCAGATTACTTCGAAATCTATTCTGAATAATAATCAAGTTATTTTAATATGATCACAATTTAGAAATAAATACACTTTTTTTATTTATCAACTTATTATAAAATATAATCACTATATTATCTCATCCTGTGGTTGGTTATATTGAAGTAAAACTGTATTTACAATATATGATAACTATATTTTTCTGTAACAATATTATATATAAAAGAAAAAATTTTAATAAATTAAGGAATCAAAAACACATTTCTTTATAGAAAAATAATATATATTTATTATTTATTAAGAATTTAATACTAATTATTCCATATAGAATAATTAATATAAATCTTTGAGATATTATTCGAATTATAAGATTAATATGTAATAAACATTCAAAACAATGATATTCTAATAAAAAATATTTTACTAAAAATTTAATTTTAAATTTAATTTTAATTAAATATTAAAAAAATTATGTAACTATTTTTATAATAAAATTTGTCATATTAATAAATTAATATATAAATTAAGAAAATTAATTAAACTAGAATTTTTTCAGTAATAAATACTAATTATAATATAATATTTTTAATAAATTATATTAATAATTATTAATGAATAATATAATTATTTTATTTTAAAATATTTTTAATTGAATTGAATAATAAATAAATAATATTAAGTAACGTGAATTATAATTTTTTCATAATAATTTAAATAAGTATTTTTAATTATAATTTATTAACATTTTATTTTTATTTATTATTATATCCTAAAATTTATAAATTATAATTATAATTAAATCTATTTATATTATTTTTTGAAAAAGCAAAATTAAAAATTATAAGATTGTTTAACTTTATTAATAATAAAAAAAATTAAAAAAATATTTTAAATTTTTTATAATCAATTTTTCAAAAAAATTTATTAAAAAATATTAATTATGAAAAATTTTATTAAGATAAGCTATTAAATATTTTTTACATAAACTTTTTTACTAGACTATCAAGTATATATATTTAAAATTTTATATAAATTTAATAAATATTTATTGAATATAATCAAAAATAAAATATCTATTTTTTTATTATATACTATAAAATTAATTATAATTATAATATTAAAAATTTATATATTTTTTTAATAAAAGTAATAGTACAGTGACTATCAAAAGTAATGTAACGCTTAAATTTTTTACTAATTATAATTAGTAAAATATGTAATTTTCCTTATATATAAAAGTTTTTAATTTTACTAACAAATATTTTTTATTTTTACCTCAAAAAATAGCTAAAGTTCTCTAGT